CCATGCAGTTTAGGACAATTTAGAAACATACAAATTATGCACTTATACTAGTCATTATCCAGGCAGTTGACTCATGACCTTGCTTAATCCTCACCCCAACCCTCTCAATATCAGTATTAATATACTCATTTTACCAATGATGAAATTGTTATCTCAGAGATGTTAAGAAACTTGCCTGAAGCCACACAGCAATGGAAATGGTAGAGCTTGGAGCCTAAGTCTGCTAGTTTCATCTCTCTTCAGTAGAACACATCCTATATAATAAAAGCCTAATATGCTAAGTGTCTGGTCATCCAGTCATCTGGTCATCCAGTCATCCGTTCAACCAATCAGAGTGTAATATGCTAATGATATGCTAAAGCCACTCAACTGCTCACTATGACGTGCACTGACCACCAGGGGGCAGACGCTCAATGCAGGAGCTGCCCCCTGGTGGTTAGTGTGCTCCCACAGGGGGAGTGCCGCTCAGCCAGAAGCCAGCTCATGGCTGGCGAGTGCAGCCGCCTCAGGAGCAGCGCTAAGGGTGTCCGACTACCAGCTTAGGCCTGCTCCCTGTGGGGAGTAAGCCATCAGTAGGACATCCCCCAAGGGCTCCCGGACTGTGAGAGGGCACAGGCCGGGCTGAGGGATCCCCCCCCTCAAGTGAACAAATTTCATGCACTGGGCCTCTAGTTTTTCTCATAAGTATGGTGACTTTCACCAGCTTGATACCTGGCTTCTAAAATTCCCAGTTCTTTGACAAGATTCTCCTCCTTTCCTCTTTTTTTTTATGGATTGCCTGACATTGATTTTCTTAACTGGCTCAAGAGGATGATTTTGCACAATTCCTTTTTCACTCCTACTCATTTAATCTATGATGAAACTAAGCAAATGGACGGTGTCCCTATTGGCTGCCATTTCGTGGTGACTTCACCGCATGCTTCCGTGGTGTTCTAGCCTCCTCACACCTCCTCAGCTAGCTGATGAGACAGACACACAAGAGCCTCTTTGAGGGTGGGATTTAAAAGATATTTTTAGAAATGATTTGCAATCCCTAGTCATGAGGATTTGAGCTGCTCTTTTAAAAGTGAGGACATGTCCGCCTCTCTTTTCTATCTATTCTCACTCCCATGATTTCACCCAGTTAAAATGCCATCTGGAGCCCAGTGATTTTCACATTTATATCTTCAGTTCTGTCTCCTGAAATCTAGACTCATATATTCAACTGCCTACTCCATAGCTCTTATTGGTAGACATCTCAAGCTTAACATACTTGAAACTTCTAGTTCCCTTCCCACTCACTACTCATATGTTTCATCAACAGTCTTCCCATCTCACTTGATGGAAACATCTTCCCAGTTGCTCAGCCTAAAAACCTTAGTCATCCTTGATTCTTCTTGTTCATATCACACATCTGATCTATCAAGAAATGTCTTCAAAATATACCCAATCATTTCTCTCCACCTCCTCCACATTAGCCTGGTCATGATCTACAATGTCTCATCATTTGGATTGCTGCAATCATCTCCCAACATTTCTCCTTGCTCCTCTCTAGTCTATTCCCAATCAGGCAAACAGAGTGATCCCTTTGTCAGCAGATCATGTCACTCTCTGCTCAGAGTCTTAGGTTGACTTCTCATTACAATGGTCTCCAAGGGAAGACTGATGAGGAAGACAGACCTCATGACTTACGTGGTTACTACATGTGACAATAATGGCAGTGCCACTATGTCCTTCAGTATGACACTGATTTCCACTGGTTGTTCCATGCCAGTGGACAGGCAGGAGTTGCAGAGAGCTTAGGATGGTATGAGCTTGAACTTTCAAAGTTCCCCCAAGTTCTGTGTTAGCTTATGCCCCTTCCAAGTGGAAACAAATGCAAAAAGCAAAGAGATGGCTCTTCAAACTGAACCCAAGTTGGAATTAAGAGAAAAAACCCCCAGGCATTTCATGGAATGTGAAAGAATCAGCATTGTAGTTACTTTGCAAGCAGAGTATTCTGAGAGGTGCCCCTGAGCAGGTGGTGCTGTCTCCATCTTGACTAGAATTCATGGGCTGACGCCAGCATCACCTGCTGCCTCCTGCTGAGTCTCTGGAGAGACTTTCAGGCTTGTGTTTCCCACCCACCGGCTGTGTCCTAGTGAATGACTTGTTTCAGACACTCCCCTGCTTGCTGCACAGGCTGGCTGCCTCAGGGAGTTTAGCTGGAGGGAAGAGTGCTGGCGCTTTCCTGCTGAGCAAATCAATCCCTGAAGCCAGAGTTCTGGGCATAGCGTGTCTAGGCCATTCCCACGGGTCAGGCCATCATTATCCCTGGGGTGCCAACCTTCAGGTGCATGATAAATGTGCTCCTGGGAACACCTCCATTATCCCCCAATGAATGTTGGAGCACCAAATACCTGTGATTAGGGGGCATGACGCAGTTACCTCTCCCCATGGGTCTCTTTATCTTCCTTAGTTCTCCTTTCTTTTCCCTTGGCTCTGACAGCTAGATTATGAAGGACAGAGAAGGAGGGGTTCCTGCTCTCTTCTATTTGCATTTCTAGAAGGGAGTCTGGAGAGGTGCTGAGGGCATTTCTTCAAATACATCTTCTGCATACATTCCTCAGCCTGGAATCAAGACCATTCAAGATCTGGCTCCCAACCATCCTTCCTGCCACTCACTCCCTGTCACTGCTATGTCAGGGGGCCTTCATGCCTCCATTAATTCAGATCATCACCAATGTTTATAGGGTTTACTGTTAGATGAAGAGCTGATGAGGACAGAGATCCTCCCTTTGAACTCTTCATCGTCTTTTTAAAATATACATTTTTTATTGATTTCAGAGAGGAAGGGAGAGGGAGAGAGAGAGAGAGAGAGAGAGAGAGAGAGAGAGAGAGAGAGAGAGAAATGAGGAGAGAGAATCATTGATCGGTTGCCTCCTGCATGCCCCACATTGGGGATGGAATCCACAACCCAGGCATATGCCCTGACTAGGAATTGATCTATGACCTCTTGGTTCATAGGTCCATCCTCAACCACTGAGCCACGCCGGCTGGGCTTCATCGTCCTTTTAATGCTCTCTTTGCTGCAGATGCTGCTCTTCCGGCTTAGAATGTGCCGCCTTCCTCCATTCTCCCCCGCCCTCCCCCAGCCCACTCTCTCTCTTCCTCCCTCTCTTTCCTTCTCTTTTCTCTTTCCCCAGCAAATAGTTATTCATCTATTCAGTCCTTATTTGAATGGTGCCTGCTTTGTGCAACCTTGCCATGTAATTCTGCGCAGATCTACAATTTGAAAGCATTCTTTTCATATTTTTAACACTGACCTTGCTACACAAATCTTTATCAGACACTATGAGAGTCTGTCTCCCCAACTAAATAGTGAAGACCTCGTGGACAGACATGTCCTTTATATATTTTTTTCAGACATGTCCTTTATATTGATCTCTCTATATCTTGGCACTCAGGAGCCACTCCATAGATATGTGCGGAGTGAGTGAGTGAACAAATGAATCAAGGTCTTGGGTTTTAACATCGCTTTGCAGGTCAGCTATTGCCAAAGTGTGTCCTTCTCAGTTCCGGCAGACCAGATGGGGGTGGCAGTCAGCAGGGACGCCTCATCTGAAGCAGAAGTCTCCCTCAGCCACGAAACAGCCATCCATTATGGGTCCCAACAAGACCCGTCACCTTGGCTCTCCAGTCCCTATTTGCACCAGAATCGATACACCTTCCCATAGCGCACACCCACATGGATACTTTCTTCTTCAGCCGCAGCCACATCGCTCAAAATTAATCAGACCGGTGCCGGGGGTGGGGCGGGGAGGAAAGTCTCACTAATGATTGATTCTGCAGCTGGCAATCTGTTAGATTGTGTGTTGGGGCTTAATGTGTGATTTCACGGCTTTTCACAGTCTCTAAACTGCAAATTCAAGATTATTGGAAAACATTTTATTTAATTTCCATGCTTTTTTAATCAAAAAAGTTAAAAGACTAATAAAATCTTTTATGGGCAGTTATCAAATGTGCTATTTCCACACAAGTCGGCAACCCCTTCCTTAGCTTAGAGAGGACTCCACTGGGGTACTGATGAGGTAGGGGGGGATGGCTATGGAGACAACATCATTCATTCTTCCAGGTGATGTCCAAGGGGAAGTGGAGTGTTAGAATGTTTGCATGCTGCTTTTAACTTCTGTGAAAATCATTATTTACCTATTGCTTGATTCAGAATCCCAGAAGGGCCTCAGACACCTGAAATTCAACTTCTTCACTTTAGTGATGAGGAAACAGACTCAAAATGAGAAAGCTCCTTGCTTCAGGACAAAGTCAGGACTTAATCCCACTTCAGGTAAGATATATATTTTTGTCCTGACTTCTTTCATCTCTTGATGTGCACTATTTCATATAAGTTTTCCCAAATCCAGCAATTTCTGTGGACAACAGTAGCACCATTCCCCTCTTCTCCTTCCAGTGCTGTACTGTTCTCTCTTTTCTGCGTCAAGATTCTAGGGACTAAACACCCTGGAAACCCAAGGAAACTGGACAGAGTCCTCTAGATCAGTGGGTCATACATGAGAAGAAGGAAGAGGCCAGCTGGCCTCTACCTGAAAGGGAGACCCAGCGACACAGAGAGGGAGACTCGGCCCTACTGTCGGGCTCTGTAAGCGCTGAGGTTGGATGCAAACTACCATGTGAATGCTTTTTCCATCACATAATTGGTGAAGCCCCAAATATGACTAGCTGCCGTGCTGTAGTTTGTCAGCTAATAGAGTGCCCCGGTTCATTACCAATCCATGAGTTAACGATGACCATCTTCATAATAATCATTATTGCCTTAGACAGGTGTGGATGACAAAGACCCTCCAGGGAATTTTTTTTGAAATGGGCTGTTTCTTAGCCAACTGTGACTCTCCAGAGTCACTTTCTACAGAACCCAAGGATCATGAAGCTAAAAAGGGCCCTTGGAGATCATCGATTCTGGCTGTCTTCAGACGGAACTAACCTTTATAGAATAGCTGTTGTATAAGAAATGGAACCAAACTTACTTTTATATGTTATTCTTGTGATAGTATCTCTGTTGAGCATTCGATTAAGAAATGGGTTTGATGAATCAGAAACCTAGGGTAGAAAAGAAAAGTTTAATGATTGGATAGTGCTGTCTCAGGATAAACATTGCTTCCATGAATTCACTTGTTCATTCACATTTCTTGAGTGCCTACCATATGCCAATCACTATGATGGCTGAAAATTCAGAGATAAAATATACTCTATTTCCCAGAAACCCCAGTCTAGAGAAAGAAGACAGATAAGTAAATAAATGGCTATAATATTGTATGAACAGTGCTAGGAGAGAATCACCCACCTGGGGAATCTGGGGAACTAAGACCTGAACTGAGTCTTGAAGGATGGGTGGAAATTAACAAAATACTTTGGTGGTAAAGTGTGGAAACAAGAAAGGGCAAGGAAACACATTACTTACAGAGGACCTGTTCATACATGGACATGGGAGAACTAGCCATGTTAAAGCATATACTTCGTTGTAGACGGAGCTGAGAGTATGGGAGGTGAGACTAGAGGAGTAGGCAAAGGCTAGCTCATGCCAGGCTTTGAAAATCATGTTAGAGAATTTAAACTAGGGATGGGGAACCATCAAAGGGTTTTAAGCAAGAGGCAGGGAGTGACATGTTAGGAAGGAGATAGTAATCTCAGTAGAGAGTGAGAAAGAGTACACAGAACAGGAGTCAGGAGATGAAAGCAAATCTCTAAGAGTAATAGAGAACCTTATTATGTAACTGCTCTTTATTACATAAGTTGAATATATCATACACTATGCCAGTCAATCATCCATCCATGCATAATCCATTCATCCATTTATCCAGGCATCCATCCATCCATGTATCCATCCATGCACCCATTCATGCATCCATCCACCCATCCATGCATCTATGTATCCATCCATCCATCATCCATCCATCCATCCATCCATCCATCCAACCATCTATACATCTATGCATTCACATAGTCAATAAAAATTTACCAAGCATCCATTATGGGCCAAACATTGTACCAGATGTTTAGGGATCAGTTGCCCATGCCTTTAGGTCTCCAAATTCCTTCTTTGGGAGAAAAAGCAAGGTTCAAGGAGCTTGATCCAGGGGACCACCATTTGGACACTGTCTTCTTAGCACCCACTTTTTACTCAGTTTTTCCGAGGTGCACTGTTCATCCTAATAGTTTATCTCCTACCTCGCTTGGCTCAGCTCTGCTCTGTAATTTACGCCTCAGCTACTAATCGGATGTTGTGACACATCAACATTTTAAATCTGCTTTATTCTGAGGGTTGGAAAAATTCAGCGGGTGATTATTATTATTAGATAAACAACAGGTAATTTGTAGTTTGGAAATAGCACAGACTGTTTATTTTCCCGCCATCTGTCTCTCATTTCCCACTGTTCCTGGGTGTGTTGTGTTGAGACACACACCAAGGGGAGCTTGGTGAGTGACAGTGCTCAATGGTGTGTGTAAAAGCCCGCCCACAAACAGAGGAAAGTCCCCAATTAGACACTGCTGTACCCCAGAAGCGTTAGGACCAAACCCAACTGCTGCTTTGCCATCCTCTGTGGCCATTTAAAAGATAGCCTGAAGCCACCGGTGTGGGCGGATGCACCCTCTGAAGGAGGAGAGCCCCACTGTAATGTCATGGCGGGAAAGGAATGTGCCATGGCCCACAGTCAGGCGCCGTGGGCTCCCGGTACCTGGTGAGTCTGGGTAGTGCTAACATTGGGACTGGGCCCTTTTGAGCTGATTAAAAGTAACTGAAAAATTTCCAAAGTGCACACAGATGATTTGTGGGCTCTAGTGTGTTGGCTGCGTGGGTGAGAGGATAAAATATGTACTTGGTATAAGTGAGCTTAAGTGGGAAGTTAATGGTGTGTGATTGAGTAGCAATTACAGCCAAATCTCAGCTCCCTGTGGTCACGGGAAGGATGGGGGATGAGGAGGGGACGGAGATAAGTAAAACCCACAGATAAACAAGGCTCTTATTTTTAGCCAACAACTCCAACCCTTCTACGGCTCAGCTTTTGGGCACAGTGACATCTCTAGGGCTCAGCTGACCTAGATGTGGGGCCTCTCATTTTCGTTCCTGCCTACCCTGCAGGGAGCTGGGAAGGGGAGGCGGAAAGATCAGAAGGAGGGGAGGCCTAGTAACATTGTGTGCCCTTAGAGACCGAGGGCTTTATTTCTATTTCGAGCGCCTAGCACAGGGCTGGCCCCTGTCCCACACTCGATCCGTGCATTGGGGTGAGTGAATGACTAGTCCCAGCTGGGATAACTCATGGAACATCTGGAAGTTGATTATAGTGAATGAAGATAGGGATGCTGTGGCTTACTTTGAGGTCTAACCAGAAAGCTTCAGGTTTGCTCAGGGGAAGAATGGAAGCACCCTAAGGGCCAAACTGGCCCGAAGAGACACAGGAGCTAGTGCCCCTCTTTCACTGACCTCAGGGTCCGGGGCACAAGTTCCTCCCAACACCCCACAGCGAGGCAGCCAGGACTTGCATCAGTAATCTCGGTGGATCTTAGACATAACGCAAAGGGTGGTGTGTGTGCCCAAGAAACCCGAGGCTGGCCATTTTACATCCATGAGATTGATGAAGGCCAAAGGATTTTCAGCAGGGGGTAGGGAGTAGTTTGCTGTCAATCACCCAGGAAGGGAGGGAGAGGAATTAAGGGGAGGGGAGGCAAGGGGTCTTGAGAGGGAGGACCAGGCAGGTGAAGTGTCTGCTGCAGAGGGTGATGCTTTCAGGGGGCGCGAGAGAGTGGTACCTGGGGCGCCGCCACGCCCATTCTTCTGAGCAATGCTATGTCCTCACCAGAACTCTGTTCAGAGCCCAGAGTAGCAAACGCTGAATCATCTTCGTCAGATTCCCAGTTCAGATTGGGGCACCTCCTCTAACGATCTGGCCGAAACTTCCCAAGGGGTTGGCCCAGTGACGGCCAACTTTTGGAAATGCCACACATTGCTTTTTTCCACCAACTGAAAAGACAATTTCTTTTTTTCTTTCTTCCTTTAACTTTGCATACCTGTGTTCTCTCTCCATCTGTCAAAAATGTTCATGGTAATTACCTTTTAACAAATTAGAACTGGCTTGGTAGGAGATTTGTTGTTGTTGTTGACTGCTAGGAGGATGTGGCACCTCCCGAGAGTGTCAGAAAGTCAGCACTGGTGATCTTTGCTTAGTTTTCTTCAGGGGATGCTTATGAGGGAGGGAGGGAGGGAGGGAGGGAGAAAGGAAGGGAGGGAGGGATGATGCCCAGAGCTATAGTGGGGAAACTGGAGGGAGGAGGGAGCTGTTTAGTGCAGCGCCCAAGGGGAGGGACATCTCACATGCATCTCTTTTTCCAAAGGATGGGCAGGGCTTTAACCCTGTGGGGTGTCAGTGAGCTACCCCTTCCCCTCCTATTACTTGGTTCTGATTTTTCTGCATAACGTGGGACCTGGATCCAGCACTGTTTTTGTTCTCTAGGACAGGCCCCGGTGCTGTGAAATGGAACCCATCATGTTGTGTCTCGCTGAGACGGATCTCATTCTTCATAAATCTCGTGGATGTCAAGTCACCACCCTGCAGGTTTTCTTGGGCGCACACACCACCCATTGTGCTAGGTCTAACATCCAGCAGGACCGCGGGAAGATATCCTGATTGCGGTGGGAATGGCAAGAGGAGAAGAATAAAGGAATGCAAGACACTTACTTTTATAAATATAGAAACTACCACCAATCCATTTGGGCTCTTTGCAGCTTCTGTGACATTTGTATACAACTCATGGTTATAGTGGATGAGCTGCACCTGGAAGGAGGGAGAAACAATAATAAGAACAACAGTGTAGCATTAAAATGTGTGAGGCACAGCCTATCCCCCCAACATAAGGGTAAACTGGAAAGTATATTGTAGAGCAACTGGAAAGACAATATTGTAACTGAAGGGATTTCGAGGAGATGTGTGTGGGTAAAATGCATGCACACACACACATATGCACACACATACAAAAATACCCATCCATATTTGCAAATGTTTTCTGGTAACAATCATGCCTTCCATCAGCTCAGTGCCCATCTGGCTCTGGCTCCATCTCAGGACATTTCCCCTAAAGTGCGTATAAAGTGAATTTCCCTTATTAGGAGCGGAACTGCCCTGCAGGGGCCCACGTCCTGCACCGACAGCTGCCACTGGCAGCGAGTAAATCCTCCTCAGGCTGCTGGGCGAGCAGGGAGCTGCCAGGTCCTGAAGGAGACAGAGCTGATGGCTTAGGTTCCCAGTGCACCAGCCATCCCAGGTCATCTGACTGTGCAGGACTCAACTTCTTCCTGCTTCCGAGAAGATCAGCAATGTGCCTGTTGGGACCTTGTGCAACAGCTGTCTGGGGGCAAAAGGAGTTCTGGAACTGTGTTCCAGCAAAGCAGGTTACCTAATATTTTTTTAAACCTCTTCTTTAAAAAAATTGTGTAACACAGCATACATATATAGTCACATGAATTGCCCCCCGCCCCCCAATTTTGAGCCACATGACTAATACCCCACCTCCGTGGGACTCACATGTTTCCTCTGAAAAAATGGGTATGATGATCTCTCCTTGGACTCATCTTAGGGCTGTGGTTTTATTTTTTTAACATTTTTTTATTAATCCTCACCCAAGGATATTTTTCCATTGACTTTTTAGGGAGAGTGGAGGAGAGAGGGAAAGACAGAGAGAAACATCGATGTGAGAGAAATACATCGATTGGTTGCCTCCCGAATAAGACCCAAACAGGGCCCGGGCTGGGGAGGAGCCTGCAACCGACGTACATGCCCTTGACCAGAATAGAACTTGGGACCCTTTGGTCTGCAGGCCGACACTCTATCCACTGAGCCAAACTGGCTAGGGCAGGGCTGTGGTTTTAAAATAGATTTTTGAACAGTACAGAAGTATGATTTTTATAACAAAATAAAAAATAGAGAAGAAAAAAAAGTGATAGGCCCCCTCCTCTACCTTTGTCTAATACTAACTCAAACAATATGACTTTTAACAGTTTAGAATTTATTTTTCTAGATTTTTGTGTGCTTTTAAATTACACATACATACACCTGTAGGGCTTAAAATATTTGGGTAAATTCCTAGAAATGTATAACCTACCTAGACTGAGTCAAGAAAAAATAGAATCATGAACAAATGAACACAAATATGGAGATTGAAGTAGTCATAACAAAAACTTCCAATAAAGAAAAGCTGGACCAGATAGCTCCATAGGTGGCTTTTACCAAACATTCAAAGAAGAATTCATACCAATTCTCCTTAAACGCTTCAAAAAAAAAATAGAAGAAGAGGGAACACTTCCAAACTCATTTTATGAGGCCAGCATCATCCTGATATCAAAGCCAGAAAAAGACACTTCAAGAAAAGAAAACTATAGGCCAACATCCCTAATGAACACAGACACAACCATCTTCAATAAAAGACTAGCAAACCAAATTCAACAGCACATTAAAAGGATTATACACCATGGCCAAGTGGGATTTATTCCTGGGATGCAAGGATGGTTCAATATATACAAAACAATGTGAAATACCATATCAACAGAATAATGATAAAAAATACATAACCTCAAAAATCATTTGACAAAAATCACTATTTATTCACGATAAAAACTATTTTAAAAAGGCACAGAGGAACTTAACATGATAAAAAGGTAATACCTGAAAAACCCACAGTTATCATCATAATCAATGGGGAAGAACTGAAAAAGTTTCCTCTAAGATCCAGTACAAGGCAAGGATACCCACTGTTGCCACTTCTATTCGATAAAGTCCTAGAAGTCACAGCCAGAAAAATTAGACCAGAAAACAAAATAAAAGGCATCCAAATTGGGGGGAAAGAAGCAAAATTATCCAGAAGACTCCAGAAGGCAGCGTGGCCATGGCCAGACTTCTGGTTCCCACCTGTCAGAATACAACTTTGGCATCAAAGGCAAGACGGAAAGATGCTTGAGGACTTGCACCAGCTCAAGCATCACTAGCTGGGCTACACTGTGAGAAGGTGCTGCTTCCCCTCCACCTATCTCCCAGGTCTTTGTCGGGGCAACCACACTGCCTGTAGCTGTTGTCTTGTCCTCTTCAGACATGTACATTCTAGGCACTGGATGAGGTCAGAGCTTGTAGAGAGAAAAAAATCCTTATAATTCACAAGGCAGCAAGCTTTTCTGTGAAGACTCTGATAGTACATACAGGGTGTCCCTCCCCCCCAAAAAAGTATGCACACTTTGAATAATGATAAAGTCAGTGTTTATTAACATGTAGTTCATTTTCAAAATTTAAAAGAATCTACAGAAACGAATAATTCTTTTTGTCAACACTTGTTTTCAAACTGATAACTGTTCTGGTCCAGGCACTGCTACCATAATAACGTGAAGCAATGGAATCGCAAACATCAAAAATCATTTCGTTCAGTATTTATGTGCCCTCAGTTCATCGACTGTTGCCAGTTTTGTACCGTAAACTTTATCTTTTATGTATCCTCATAAAAAAGTCCAGTGGCACTTTAGGATAAATTTTCTTTGTTCCAAGCTTAGTCTGGCTTCACCCATTATTTCAAATCAGCTAAATCTGAAAAGGAGTGACAATTAAGTGGGTTATCAGCTGTTAAAGTGTGTATACATTTTTGGGGACACCTATATTTTCAGCCTTGTGGGCTATCTGTATGGTCTCTGTCACACCTCTTCAATTCTGCTTGTGTATGAAAGCAGCCATAGACAAAATATGAAAGAATGGGTGTGGCTGGGTTCCAATAAAACTTTATTAACAAAAACAGGTGGCAGTCTGTAGTTAGCCAACACTGCTAGTTTAAATTTGAGAGATGAATAAAAAACTTCAGGGCCATTCATTTTCTAGAATGTCTTCTAAAGTGATAGGAAGAAGCACATGTTGAAAGGATCTAGGTATCAACCTCTTCTTTCGTTTAAATGATAGTGATTACAATTTGACATTTCTACAGCCCTTTAAACCTTGCAAGGCATAGTCAACTCAAGTGAGTTTATTTCCAGTCAACACACAAGTCCCAAGTGCCCATCATGTGCTAGACCCCAGGAGCCCAGAGACAAACGCTGCATAGTCCGTGTCCTTGAGGAGCTCACCCATATGACCCCATTTGTCCCTGCAATAGGCAAAGGGTAAAAGGAAGGCACAGAGAGTCTAAGCAACTCTTACCAGGTCACACAGCCAAACAGGGAGCCTGGCCCACCTTGCTTTCCTGTGTACAAATGTTTTCTTTCCACAAGAAAGTAAAGAGAAAAGAAAAGGTGTTTTACATTTGAGGGGAGGTCACATTTCAGCAGCTGTTGCTGGAACAATAATTATAAGCTAGAACTTATTTATAGAAAGTCATTAACAAGTTTGTCTTTAAGAGCAAGAGCACACGGAGAGTTCTGCAGAGAAGAACTCGGTTTGACATGTACCAACCGCCACGTTGTCAGTCTAAGGTTTGGCAATTATCACTGCTCTGCCTGGTGGCTGATGAGTTCCTGCATTTTAAGGCATGGAATGCAATTGTGGTTTAAAATAAAGAAATGCCTATAATTGCATTGACTGAAGACCCCCAAATGTGGTCCAGCTATCACAGCAGCCTAGAAAACCAGAGTGAAATATGGTATTTTCCCCCCCAGAAGATGAAACTTGGATTTTAACGCATGGTGCTTTTCACGGGGGTGCACGGTGGTTTGTACATGTGTGGAGTGATGAGTTTAGGTGCAGGATGATGCTGGAAAAGGCAAGGCTCTGAGCCTAATCTCTTCTGTCAGAGTAACCTCAGGCTAGCTGCATAGCCCCTCTGTGCCTCAGTCTCTTCATCTGTAAAGTGGGGATGAATCTAAGGATCGTCTGGGGATGAAATGAGATGATCCATCACACAGTCTTCCAGGAACTAGGCAGGGTACAATCAAGCAAGTGCAATAGATGGGGTGACATGACCACACATATAAAAGGCAGACACCAAATGTTCCTTATATTTCCTTCTACGATGTAAAGATTGAATGTATTTCCTCCTTATCCATTTCTGGACTTGAAAAATTTTCATAAAACAAACCATAGGCCAAGAATCTTCTAGAGAGTTCTCTCCTCTAAGAAAACATATTTCTCACACGTTTAACAAGAACTACTGAGTAAGGATGTCCCCAGATGTGTTTTTCTTTTTTTCTGGAACATTTTGAAATAGATGCTTCTAAAAGTCTAACTTTCCTCTCCCTGCTGAAAACCAGAGCAGGACATGCCTCCTGCAATGAGGTTTGAGTCTCTCAGGTGTGACTTCTGAGCAGTGGCTGCTAACTGCCAGGATTTAAAGGGAGCTCTGTGCACACTTAAAAAAAATAAAAATATATATTTAAATATGTTTTTTATTAATTTCAGAGAGAGGAAGGGAGAGGGAGAGAGAGATAGAAACAGCAATGATGAGTGAGAATCATCCATCAGCTGCTACCTGCTTGCCCCTACTGGGGACCTAACCTGCAACCCAGGCATGTGCCCTGCCTGGGGATCCAACTGTGACCTCCTGGCTCATGAGTTGATGCTCAACCATTGAGCCATGACGGCTGGGAATCTGTGGGCACTTTTTGAACCTGGGCGACTTTAATGAACTCTCTGCCTCACTGGCATCCTGCAACCCAGGCGTCATTGCTCCTGCCCTCGTTCTCTGCATTCACCCACTTCCTCCCCACACGCCCATGACCTCACACTCCTCCCTGTGAAGGGCACAAATGGAGATCCTTCACTGGCTCTGCAGCCAAATGTCCTGGGTTATTGAGTCTCTTAGAGCCTTGATTTCT